CATTCTGCTGAAAGCATCCCTGATTATAGCAACTCGAGGTTTGAATTTGTTCTTCAGTTCTGTGAGCTTAAGATATGCTGAGCAAGTTCGGCTCTTTTGATTTTCTGACTCCAACTCCTTGCATATTTCATTGTAACCTCCCACTTACCCAGACATAACATCTGGTTTATTATTGGTATTCAAATTGATATTCAGCTTCCTGCATTTCCCCTTTTGTGTATAAACCATAATTTTGTGGTCGTCAAGACAAGCATGATTTCTTCACGATTCATTCTTGCTTGTTTTCTGTTCTCTTCATCCTTTATGTATAGTCCAATAAATACAGCCAAGTAAGCAAAATAAGTTCACAAAATACTTCCAAAATGATTGTGTGATTAGAAGATTCAGGTAGGATATTCCTTGAGTTTGTTTTTATGGTCATAAACCTTGCACTGCATTCCTTAAGGGTCTATTTCTATTGCTATATTACTACAGTCCTTGTCAGAACTAGTTTTGGTCGCTCTCTGACTTCCCACAGTACTATGTGATGTTTTGTGCGTACTTTCTGTTCCTGTGTGTGGTGTGTCCTGTGTGTACTCTGTCCTATTGTGTGTGTTTTGTGTGATAGGTGAGTACTCTGTGACTTTGTGTGAGAACTCTGAGATGTTGTGAGACTGCTCCTTGAAGTTGTGTGAGTATTCTCTGATGGTGTGTGTTCTCTGTGCTTTTCTGTGTACTGTGTGCTGTGTGTGTGCTCTATGATGTAACATGTCTTCTGTGTGCATCATTTTCAGTTTACTGACCTCGAGGACAGCAAATTATGTAATGGTTCCTGTCATTTTTCCAGTAACTGTTTCTACTTTATAGGATTTTATCCTTTGTTAATTAATATCCTGAATCTTAAAAGCAGACTTACATTACTGTGTCTTTTTTTTCACAAAAGTCTGTCCTCTATGACTTGCATTGGTTTGGGTCTTATATTGTCATACTTGGATTTTCGCAGGTATTCAAAACTTTAGTGATCGAGAGGCTTTATTCCGTGAATATACACAGATGAAATTCTTAAGGACGAGCCCATTCTGGCCTTCCATGTTACATCAGATGTCAACATTGCATGGCAAAGAAGCTTTAGAACAAAATCAAGACGATGACTTCAGGTGAGTTTCAATCAAATGGAAAAAACCTTCCAACACCTTTTAGGAAACAATGACTTGTGAAACAGCCATTAAAACATTTTAAGATTTATAAAAGTACATACAGGAGTATAGTTTTGCTAGATTTTTACTTTGGAGAATCCTAAGGGAAAACCCATATGCCTTTTTTTTTATTGGGGGCAGATGAGAGCACACTTATTTCCATCCTAGTGTTGTCTGTTTTTTACGAGACTTTAAACAGTACAAGACGTATATGAAGGGGTTGCACAGAATCACCCATGAAAGCTGCATCAGCATTTACAATCTTCCCTCTTTGGAAAGAAATTGTCTAGATGTACATCTGTTGCGGAATCACCTTGCTGAGACTACGCATTTTATCTCACAAACGTAGCAAAGATTACTGTGCCTTCTCATCACTGTGGATGCAGATGGTAGACTATCAGGAATGTACAGAAACATGAAAAACTTCTATAAATACATTTGCTTTATGATTGTTCAGAAAATGGGAAAATTATTATTCCTGTACTAGGACATTGAGAGATCAGAGCAGATGGAAAAATTCAGAGTGTACCGAGGCTGTATTGATGTCAAAAATGTGTTAATTGTGTGTCTTTCTTTATTACATCTAAGGAGATATTCAAGGACGCATGTCGCAGAGAAACCTAATGCAAGTAAACAATGTGTGAAAGCATTTTCACCATCAAGTCAGATCATGGTGCAGGGAAGAAGTCACACGGGAGAGATAAGTTTTGAACCTAAACAATGTGGGGGAACCTTTCCTCAGTCACATTACCTCTCTGAACGTAGGAAAACTTGCACAAGAGGAAAACATTCTCAGTGTATGGAATGTGAGAAACCAGTTTCCAAATCAAGTCACCAGACATCTCATAGAAAACTTCATGGAGTAGAGACACCTCCCATGTATAAGGAATGTGGGAAAACTTGTGCCACATCAACAGACTTCACTCCACATCTGAGAATTCACCCAAGAGAGAGACCTCATGAATGTAACGAATGTGGCAAAACTTTTTCACGACCCACTTCCCTCACTGAACATATGCGAATTCACACAGGAGAGAGACCTTTTGAATGTAAGGAATGTGGGAAAACCTTTTCCTATTCACGTTCCTTTAGGAAACATACTAGAATTCACACGGGAGAGAGCCTTTATGAATGTCAGGAGTGTGGGAAAACATTTTTTGGATCAAGTCACCTCACTGTGCATAGAAGAATTCATACAGGAGAGAAACCTTATGAATGTAAGGAATGTGGGAAAACATTTTCTCAATCAAGTAAACTCATTTCTCATAAAAGAATTCATACAGGAGAGAAACCTTACAAATGTAAGGAATGTGGGAAAAAATTTTCACTCTCACATTACCTCACGGAACATCTTAGAATTCACACAGGAGAGAAACCTTATGAATGTAAGGAATGTGGGAAAAGGTTTTCCCACTCAAATAGCCTCATTCTACATAGAAGAATTCATACAGGAGAGAAACCTTATGAATGTAAGGAATGTGGGAAAACATTTTCTCAATCAAGTGGACTCATTTCTCATGGAAGAGTTCACACAGGAGAGAAACCTTATGAATGTAAGGAATGTGGGAAAACATATTCTCGCTCATATAGCCTCATTCAACATAAAAGAAGTCACACAGGAGAGAAACCTTATGAATGTAATGAATGTGGTAAAAGGTTTTCCCAGTCAACTAGTCTCACTCGACATCGAAGAAGTCATACAGGAGAGAGACCTTATGAATGTAAGGAATGTGGGAAAACATTTTCTCAGTCAAGTGTAGTCATTTCTCATAGAAGAATTCATACAGGAGAGAAACCTTATGAATGTAAGGAATGTGGGAAAACATTTTCTCGCTCAAATAGCCTCATTCAACATAGAAGAATTCACACAGGAGAGAAACCTTATGAATGTAAGGAATGTGG